GAAAGGTTTGTTCATTTAAAAAATTCTAGCCAAAAGACATTTTTGAGACGTTTGAAGTCTTTTTTGATAGTTTCTTTACTTCTCTACGTTTCAAGCACACTTAAAATCTTTTACAGCAAGTCTAAGCTGTAGTAACGAAGAGCTAAGTCTCATAAGAAAATCTCGTTTATATATAATTTCAAAAAATACTTTCTAACGGAAGAGCTCATACCGAGACAGTTGCGAATTCCAGCCGAAAACGGTACATAAGCAAAAGGATCACGCTTCGCGACATTTTCTGACGAAAAGTTATCTGGATTATAGAAATCTGGTTCTTCCCACTCCTGCAATTCCCAGTCTGCTTAATAACACTTCGCCAACAGTAGTCTTATCTAAGCTTATAAAATTAGAAAGAAAATCTAATATTGTTTTGTAAAGCTCATGTAGCACAAGTCAGTGTAATTTCTCAGTTGTTTCTTGTTATTTTTTGCAAATGAAAAGATTAAAGACATGGAAAGCTGAACAAAATTTATATTCAAAAAATCACTGAAAAGGAAGGTTGTTGTTTCTTAACGCCTGAATGAGAAAAAAAATAACATTTTTCTTTTATTTTCAAAATTTACGCCTGTGCAGTACAATTTTTGGGTTTAGCCTTTTTTGCCTCAATAGTCATAAGTCGAATTATAAAAGAGACCTTCAGCGCTTGAAAGCGATAACGAATCTAGGTCACAGACTTCAAAAAGACCAAATTTTTGTAATATAATGTCGACAGGTGCATACCTCACTATCTCATGTCTATTTTTTTTTCACACATTAATTTTTTCTTTGAAAAGCTTTCAAATTGCAGACAAATAACAAAAATAACAATGTTTCTGAGAATACGTGTTCTAGTTTTCATGTTTTTTTGAGAAATTGAAAAACAACGAAAAATTCCAAGGTATTTATAGCTGCTTGACATTAAATACATTGTTTACTCATTTCGCTGCGCTTCTATACCTCAACAACACAGGTTGCTTCTTTTAAACTTCCTTTTTAGTACAACTTCATTGAGCTTTCAAGCTTTAAAACTCTTTTATTGAGTGATACGCGGAAGACAAGAAAAAAAATCTTGACTATATTCTGCTTAACTGATGTCGCATAACGGGAAGCTGTAGAACTTCAGTAGCTACTTTTTCTGACTAATTTTTTTCTTTTCTTTAAAACACTTCTCTCAGTGGTTCATTTGACTGTGTCGTCTTGGCACAATTTTCAAATGAAGATTGTTGCTGTACGAGCGAAATTCGGCAAAAGACTTATCGTGGTCAGGAAAATTTATAAATAGCTGGAAAGTTGCTGTTGGAAAATTATTACCCTTGGGTCTCTTCCTACGCTGAATGGTGAAATGTAGGCTGTTACACCAGCTGGAATCGTGTATTCTCCTGTAAAAAAAAACGAGTAGCAGATACGAGTGATTTAGGGTGAACTAGTCAAAGAAACATTCTTTTTCGCTGTTTTGAAATATTTTTCGTGAATTATCTTTTCTCAAATGAATCTTAACATTTGGGACAGTTCACTGTATTTCCTTGATGCACAGCTTCTGCCTTGATCACAAAAAAACTAATTCTTTCACCTCTTTCAGCCTCTGGAGTTGTTCTAAAATTGCTTAAAAATGATTCTACACTGTTATAAATTGTATCTTTTTGACTATTCTAAACGCGAAACGTGGTTTTGTGGTTCTTGACAACATTTCTTGCATGATAAACCTGACGTTTAAATTTGTGGTCTGACTAAATAACTTCTTAAGCTTGTTAAAAATCACACTTTATCGGTCTTTGAGATATCCAGTTGGTGAAATCCGGATGAAAAATGCAGATAACTAACCGATCCTGACGTCTTTGGTAATGCGTCTACCGAACAATAGAATTGCCGGGTAATATCTCAACGCTTCCTTGACGCATCGATCTAAGTAGACCAGACTTCTGAGATCGTCCGATGTAACATCTCGCTCTTTCTCACCTTGGAAAGAAGAAGCGTTGTTTTGTATCTGTTAGCACAATTTGAAATTCAATTCAATGTTGTTTTACTCCACAAATAAAAAACCTTTCGTCATTGTCTAATTTAATTTAAACGTTTTTTAGCCTTACCAATTACGCTAATCAGCTCTTCATAAATTTTGTTCTGACATTCCAGTTTGTTCCCCAAAATAAACAGGAAGAGCCCAGTGACGTCCGATATGATGTTATGAGCTGAAACAGTTTTTCCTGGCCCTCTCCTTGTTAAATCATATAGGAATTCGACCATTGAAGGCTTAATCTGAGAAGGTTGAAAAACACGTTTTGTTTTCACACCTCAAATTCTAGTTTCGATAAGTTCAGATTACACTGAACATGTTAATATCTTTTTGTTTTCTTTACTAAAACTTTCCCTAAATTGTAAAATTTTCGTCGCATACTGTTTTCAAAATACCGGTTTATGTGCTGCAATTACTTCTTTTACGCAAAATTTTAACAGGATAGACTTAAGAAAGAATTGCTTATCTCAAATTCATATTGGTCTTATGTTCGAATTTTTAGATAAAAACAAGGTTTTGATGAATTTCTTCGAGGCAAGAGAAATCTTAATACTTTGCGTTGTATTAAAAGTCCTAAATAAAATAAAAAACGTTCAACTCTTTTTCAGAAATGAATTTTTTATTTGGAGTATTGACTTCAGTTGAAAGAAGTAGCGTAAAATTTTAATAATAAACAAAAGCACCTGCGAACAACAAAGTTCCTAGTTCTCCACGAATGTCTTCAATGCTCAAATTGTGTTCATCTTGTAAGCTCAGGTACCAGTCCAAGAAACATTTTTTGTCTATTTCTTCCGACGAAGTTTTCTCAGAAACCGACCTTGTTTTCATGCTGTCATATTCCTTTTTGCGCGCTAGCACCATCTAAAAGTATTACCCTGTTTCTTATAAGCCTACACTGCAATGAAGCAAACAACTTTCTACCTTTGTTTCGAAATCACGTGCAATCGCTTCAGATTTCTCAATTCTTCTTTCGTGACCAAGCAAACGCGATATGGCCTTAATTCTTAGCCATGGGGAATGAAAGCCTTTGAGACCTTCATCAACTAAATGTGCTACTGCTTCAAAATATTCCAGATTTTCACCTTCCTGGGTGTTAGTTTGACATCCTAATATTATATCTAAAAAAGCTCGTTTGGTAGTGTTTAAACATCATATAAGCTTTTGAGCGTTAATAAAAAACCCTCTCCCTGGCAAACATTGATCATTGGCGAGGATGCCGTTCCTCCCATCAGCCTCACCAATAGTGAACAAATTAGACACGGGAGATGGAAATCTCCACTGGAAAAATTTAAGATAATGCGAATTATGGGATTTAAAGATAGCCAAAAATACTGAAACAGATCAATTCTTTTTCATTGTTTTTTAATGTGATATAGTAATTAACTACAAAAATTGTTGACAGCACTCAATTTTCGTGTACTGACTCTTCATCAGCAATCCTATCATAAAATATTTTTCTCAAAAAATCCTTTTTTAAAAACTCAAAAAGTTTAGAAAAGTTAATAAAACTAAAAAATGACAAAATTCACTGTCTTTTCACACTGATAACTGACTGGTGCTACGCAAATCCAGTCTTACGCAAAACGCAACTTGAACTGAAAATGAAACGTAGAAATCAGTAACAGGTTTTGCACGACAGATATTTTTAGACAAAGTGTCGCAGTTTACCTGCTGAGAGATCCATAGTATAGTGCTTTAGATACGGGAGAAGGTCAAAGGCTTCATCCTTGTCAGCAAATTGGTCCAGTTTTTTTGTTAAAACCTTAATCATCCCTTTAACTAATAATGTTATCGAATTTTTCGAAAAAAAGGCTTTTTAAACAGGTCTGTTAGAAAAGCTTACGCATGAGTAGCTATTAAAACGTGTTTCATAGCTCTGAAGAACAGTCGGGTGAAAAAAACAACTAATCATCTTTCTTCTGCTACGCCATTTCTCTCCAGAACTAAAGCATATTCAAATTGGTTCTAGATTTGTCGAGTGCTTTTTTCTGTCTTTCCTTCTCCTCTTACATAGCATTTTTATTAGACAAGCATAACTACACATCTCAACTTTAACAAATGAGTACGCGAGAAATTGCTTACTCGTTTTTGCAAAACTTACTCTGTTATCAATCCGTCTCCTGTAACACGTGCAAGAATTTTATACTCTTCAGGCTTTGTAGTCAAGGTTGGGCTTTCCAGTACAGCCTAAAAATTATTTAGCGACTCCATTTATGTGTGCCTAGAAGCTCCGGTTTTCAATGCAGTGGAATTTGTCAGAGCGAAGCAATAGAAGCCCAGAATTTCATTAAAAAAACTTCATTTAAAAAATGATAGCAAAAGGCTAACTTTAATACTAGGCACTCGTGTAAGCAGAACTATTGGAACAGGTCCCATCCAAAACCGTACTATGCCGCAGTCGGTTTTATAAGCATATTTTCGGCAGTAATATTCCATTCGCAGAGTAAGCTCTAAACTTTTAATACCAGATTAGCATATGAAAGCCTCATCTAAAAGATTTTTATTACTAACATCTTTATTTATTTGTCAGTAAATTTTACGTTCAAGCTTACCAACTCTGTTGCACATAAGAGTGAGGCAATTGCCAAACAAGGGAATCGCTTTTGGTCCAGGTATCCTGTTAACGTTGTCATAAATATGTTTTATATATCTATAGTTCTCTTGCAGTTGTTGCCTTTTCAGTATCAAGCATATTATAGAGATTGTTAATACTCCAATAAGTATTATCATTTTTAAACTATCAAGTGCTCTATAAAAATTGTTTCAGAAATAAGGAAGATATAAAGGTGAAGAAGCGGAGGATAGTTTATGAAATCCTTTCTGCCACGGACACTGAACTCAATATGTGTAACAAGAAATAAAGAGCTTTTTCATTAGAACTTTACTAAATCTTCTGTTAGTGAGAAATCTTTACAAAGTATATGAAAAGAAGCACTGATAAAGATTATTCCTTAGCGATTTGTAACTGGTACAATTACTCTTTGCAAGCAATAGCTTACAGAAATGTGTGTTATTTGAATAAACGTCAAATTATTGTTTAACGAAAGGATAATACAGATAAAAAATTGAAGAAAATATAGACTAGTTTACATGCTCACTTAGTTTAATTATGCCAGATGTGAGAAATGTTGCTATAACTCTTCTTGTCCCATGTGAACGGTCTTAGAAATTAAAATATCGTCTACGAATTACACAGTGAGAGGCGTTACCAATTGTCAGTGTGTTAAGGTTTTGAGTGAAGAATGGGCCAAGATTATTCATCACAGTTTCTGAGCTGCTTACAGAAAAAAGCCTTTCAAAAGCTGGCCAAAGATTACGTGTATGATGTAGAGGAATATTTGTAAAGGTACTTGTATTGTTCAATAAATGTCATCAATGATCTTTCGAGAAATATTCACTTTTGGCATTGTTTTCATGCTTCCTACTTTTTTTGAGCCTTTTCCGTAGAATGACCTTAGAATCACCATCTTTTTTTTTT